CTATTTAGTTTAGATTCATTACGATAATTACAAATACACAGTTAATTATTGTCAAAGCTAGATATTTTACCGTATTGAATTTAATCCAACTTTTTTTTGGGAAAATTCCCAATTAAATATCGATAATTATTGTCATCATTATGTTCATTGTTTTCGTACAACTTAGTTATTGTCATCATTTGAATAAAAACAAGAGAAAAACAGAGAATGAAATTGTGAAAAAAAACTTTTGTCAAAATAAATAATGATTAGGGGAGAAAAAAAAACATTCTAATTTTGAGGTGGAAGATCATTGAATTAATATTATTATTATTTTCTCTAAATTCTTAGCAAATCTAAAGAATCTCATCAATGTTTTCTTGATTCACATTACAAAATGTAAATATTCTAATGGAATGTCATTTATTTACTATGATGTTTATAAAAATGATAATGATCATGATCATCATCTTCAAACAAGTTTATATCTGATTAAAAAAATTTGCTTTCATTACGGTTACTATCGTGTGAGTAATGCAAATAAGAAACCAACGAAAAAAAAATTGATTTCGATTTTTAAGGACTTTTTTTCAAAATCAAGAAAAAGGGGGAACATTGAAAAGATTTTCTTGTTTGTTCGGAAAAAACGTACCAAAAAACATTCATCCAAGATTCACTAATTTTATCGAATAGATCATTTTCTTTCTAAATTCTCTTTTTCGTTACTATAAGATAATCAGAATTTATCGGTTCACTAAACAATTTACTGGTATCGGTGCTGAATGCATCGTTAGGAAAAAAATCCTAATTTTTTCAACAAAAAAAATTGTTTTTCTCATTTTCACTTTTGTAAAAAAGTAAAGATATTCATCTTAATTCAGTCATTCAACAAAATTATCAAGAACAGAATTATACACTTTGAATTTGATTTAATTTTCATTTCATCGGGATAAAAATACTAATAATAAGAAAAAGAAAACGAAAATGAATATAAATATCTCGGAAACCAAAAAAAAGAAGAAAATTTTCGGAAACAACGGAGAAAAAAAAATTCATTATGGTTTCAATTGCAAATTCAAATTTCCCCAGTCATACCGATAGTATTTGCCGCACATGCATGCATGTCATTTTAATAATTTGTTTTATTTTGGTTATGTCTTGTATATGCTTTTTTTTTTGGTTTTCGTTTTGATTCTATTCTATTTTCACAAACGAAACCAAAGTTGAAAATTTAAATTACATTAAATATTGTAGAAAAGTATAGTATGATGATAATAATTGATAAAATTAGTAATTTATTTTCTACTATATCTAAAAAAGAAAATCTTTTTGTATATTTGCTCAATCACATCCACATCATCATTTGAATCAAACTATGAACAACAACAGTATATTAATGTTGAAAACCAAAACTAAGAATAGAATATTCATTGCCTACATTCAAATTTTCGAAAATTTTCATTTCCCAATATACCTAGTTTGATGATGAAGAAAGTAAAAGAAAAAAATCGAATGAAATTCTCTATTTTTTCGGAAGAAAAAATTCTTTCATTTTTTTCTGTTCATCCAGCTTTTTATTTCAAATTAGATATATCATCTTTGAAAGCTTATTTTTTTAGTCTGTGTGTGTGTCTTTATTTGTTCCATTAAGAACTTTCAATCATTTCATTGAAGTTTAGCCTTCAATCCAAAAATGAAATCATTGTATATTATTCGGAACCACGAAGAAGAAAAAAAATTTTTTTTTTATTACACACGCCAACAAATATGATTCTAGAATATCAAACAAACATATATATCTAATATAGTTGTCGACATAATTATCGACATTTTTTTTCTATTTCAACCAAACAGAATCTTGATTATTATTATTATTATTGTTATATTTTTTTTTTTTGCTGAGGATTCTTGATTCTTGATTGTTCAACAATGACAATGTTGATCATCATGTTTGATGAAATAAACATGAATGAACAACAACAACTACAAATACAACTTACCCATAATGACATGATAAAAAAATGAACAACAACAACAACAACAAAAGATATGACATGATTCTTCATCATCATTTTATTTTCTACAGTATTTTTTCTTATTATGGAAGAAAAAATGGACCAATCATTTAATATTTCTTTTATATTAGATTTGTAGTCGGTTGTTTTTTTGTTGTTGTTGGAACGAAAAAAAAATTTGAAAAAAAACCCACGAACACAAACGCACATACACAAACAAAGTGACGCTGATGAAAAATGGAGGCATTTATATATTTGTTTCTTTTTCACTATCTTTCTTTATTCATTTAGTTAGTCTTGGCATCTTTTTTTTACCAACATTTTATTTGGTTCGTTTATTCTTTCTTTCAATTTCCTCAATTTTTTCCCTTTATATTCAATGATGATTCTGTTATTGTTGTCAACTTGATGCTTGTTTTTTCTCTCTCTTGTTTTCTATTAAATTTCATTTCGAGGGTTTAGCATTGTCTATCTGGTTGTTGTAGTTTGGTTAGTTCTTTTTCATATATATTTTTTTCGCCATTTTATTTTACCAGATTCGGTCCGTGTCGACAAAACCATCATTAGTTATTATCAGTAAATTGAAATTAAAATGAATAGCTTCTTGAATCAGATTAATTTCACTTTCAATTCGATTGTTTTTGGTTCGTTTTTGTTGCTGTTGCTGTGAGAAACTTTGGCTAAAAAGTGGTGGGAAAAAAAGATGGGAAAAAAATAGAATCTAACAATGGAGAAAAGATAGGCTCTATTTAAAGAATGGCTAAGTTGATCCACCAAAAAAAAACAAAAATCATGATTGGATTGAATTTTTTTTCTTCTCTCCATTCACTGTCACTGTTGGATTTTTTCGTTTTCTTCAGTTTCGATTTTTATATTTTCACTGGCTTGAGAATTTGTTGTTGGTGTTACTATGGTTTGTTATCATTCTAAAATGATTATAGATTGTTTGAAAGTTTTTGAATTGAATACGAAAAGAAACGAAAAAAAAAAATGATTTTGATCTTCCTTTATTCAAACAATTTATTTTTATTTCTTAGTTTTTGAAACTTGATTTTTTGACTTGACAAAAAAAAGCGAACCCATTTTTTTCTTGAAGATCTAGTTTTCATTCTGTGATTGTTTTCAGTCAGTCAAAACAAAACTTGATGGTCAATTCTATCCTTTTTCATATGTGAATATAGAATTTTGTTTGAATGAAAAAAATGGCCATTTATGTCAAAGACGTATGATAAATTGGAGGACGCTTTTTTTCTCTCTTTGTTGTTGTTGTGTGGAGAATCGGGAAAAAAAGTTTTCGGAAAAAACATATGCTTCTATACGGGAACATATGTTAAGCTCTTTATTTTTACATAAGCATGCATCATGATTATTATTAAGTTTCAAAACAATAATCATCATCATCATATATTTAATATCATTATCATTATCTTTTGCAAATAAATATCCTACCATTATAAACATTTACAAATAATTCTTATTTTTTGAAAAAAAAGTTCATGATTTGTTTATCATGATCGGCAAATTATTATTATTTAGCTTTGAGATATAAAAAAAAATTCCGATTTATCATTTTAGTTGACCGATTTTTCTTTCAAAATATTTTTGCTTCAACAAAAATGTCCAGATTATTGCCTTTCGAAGAAGAAGAAAAAAAACCATAATAAACACTAAAATCAATGTAAACTACATTTGACGAGTTAAACGATTTGAGGAAAAACATTACAGAAACTTTCCAGGATAATTTTTTCGTTTTGTCTGCAGAATGTTCTCGTGTTTATTTTCTTATTGACATCCGTATGAGTTGAACATCTGTATTTTGATCATCAAAATAATGATGACCACACATCCTATTCATGATTGTTCCGTTCCAATTTTATCGGATGATTCAATAATCTTTGAACCGTAAAACAAACCGGATATATAATGGTAGTTATCATCGTTGAAAAAAGTTTCTTTACCCACTTTTTATTCATGATAATAAAAAAGTTTAGAATTCTTGATTTATAACGCTTTCTTTTTAATCTTTTTTTTTACTTTTTCGCTTCTAATTTCTAGTTCATCCACAAATTCATACGGAACGCAAAAAAAGTATCTTTTTCTTTTGTATTGATCGAATTGGATTTTAATTGGAATCGTAATCAAAACGGATGTGATTTTTTTCGGACAATGCGATTAATTGACAAGAATCAAATTACTGACAATTAGTCTGATGTAATTCGCTAATGAAAACATTAACAGATGCAAATTGTGTAATTTGATGTGATTATGGTGTTGATGTTAATCGATTCATTGGAAACGATTCCTATTTCTGTCTGGAATCCGAAAAATTCTCATGTGCATCACATCGATATTCATCGAACGGCGTATATGAAAATATATTATCAAAATTTTTATAATAATCTGTTAATTCATGATCAATATCGATGTTTTGTCGCTGTGATTATCATTATTAGTCATGAAAATATCAATATCATCGTTGCTAGGTCACAAACCATAATATGGAATTCATTATCATCAACAATGATAATGAAACAACAAACAGTAACGATCAAAATTCGGCTCGACTATTCTTTATGGACATTGCCATTCTTAATTTCAATGTCGCTCTTTTGTAATAACAAAGTGCCTTATCAAAAGCGGCTCGAAAAACACAATAACATTGATGCCTATGTGCACTATCAACATCATCAACAATACCAAGGCCATAAAATAGCAATAAAAATGAAGAATAATTTTACCGCTTCTCATATGATACATCATCAGCAAAAACCAAAAAACGTAAAAGAATCGGATAAAGTGCTTTTTTCTGTTCATTTTGACCGATCTTTATTGACAAGGCGACTATTGAATGTTGTTGTGGTTATTGTTATTATGTTGTCATCATTTTCACCGAATGTCATTCTTTTTGTTTTGTTTGTTTTAGTTATTTTCATGTTGATGATCATGTCCTGCTTGTTATCACTAACAACTAAAAAACACCGTAAACAACAACAACAACAAAATGATTATTTTCAACACAACCAATGCCGTAATCAATGTGACGATGATACATCGTTGTTCAAATGGAATGTTGATGTTGTTGATAATGACGGTGTTTGTAGACATCTAATAGTTCTTTTTTTTCACATGTTTGATCCAAAAGAATATCATTGTTTTCTGATATTATTTCTGCAAATTATAAATAATTATGTTTGTTATTTTGTAAAAATTTCATCGAAAATTTTAACATTATTAGTGAATTCACATCAATTTGTTAAGTGTATGATTTTTATTTTTTTAATCATTAACAATTTTTCATCAGTAGCATTTGCTCAATTCACCAATGGTGCTCATAGTAATTATTACAATCATCATAATAATAAGATCGATCGTTTTCGTTCATTGATTTCATCATCATCATCATCATCCTTTAATACTTTAAATTCTGATTATATGAACGATTTATTTCCACAAAATAGTGATCAATTTGATAATGATAAAAATAATGATGAAGACGATGATGATCAAACAGGTCAGTAAACATTGCTATGAATTTTTTGTTGTCAAAAAAAAACAATCGGTAGCAAATCGAAAATTTTTACGGCTATTTCAGTTTCCATAGTTTTAGTTTGCATAAATCCTTTTCTTTTTATTTGATTTTTTTTTTACTAAACACAAAACATCATTATTCATTTGAAACAATGTCATTACTATACATTTATGGTTATCATGAATCATATAGTAACAGTGGCAGATTCTTCTCTTGGTTTTTTTGTGTTGAAAAATATAAACATTGTAACCATCAAAATGAATCGGGCATATAGGTCAAATAAGATTTTATCTTAACGTTGATGATGATTATGATTACATAGTGAAAACAAAGCATTTCGTATGATAAGGTTCATTAGTTTTTTTCAAACAAAAAAAACCAAACCTCCTAATGATCATTATGTTGTAGAATTAGCTGATGAATAAATGACAAACTTTGTCGAATAGTAAACGAAATTTTGGTTCGAACCGAGACAACTCTTTTTTTTCATTATCATCTCCATCATCATCATCATCATCATATTCATATTCCAAACCTATTCAATCATTCATCTTGAATAGGCTCATTTGTTCGAATCGTTTTTGTTACATCAAATTATTTTCATAACTAGATTGATTAAAGCAGAAAAATTCCAATATACCCAACAAAAAAAAATGTCATCAACGGACGCCTTTTCAATTTTAATTCCTTCCAGTATCGAAACTTTTTTTTTCTTTTTCTTTCTTGTTCACTGTATTCTTTATGCTGTTCAGTGAACATGCTATTTGGTTGTTCATCTATTCATTTGTTTCATTTTATGTTTTAGTTTGGTCGACACAATCAATCATAATTTTTGACTGGTTTTTTCATTCAGTTCCTTTTCTTTCGTTCTTTTGATGGTTCATTTGTTGTCGATCCATCGGCCCTATGTTTGTTGTATGTTTGTATGTTTACGTTGTCATCATCATCGTTAGCGGCATTTTTTTTGGATGTTTTTTTCTTTTTTTTTATTCTCTCATTTATGTTTCACAAACACTAATTGATTTATTACGACAAATACAAACAACCAAAAAAAACTGTTGTGTCATCGCATAGATTTGGTTTAGCCGAATTTTTTCATGTTTTTTTCATTAAGCTTTGAGGTTTTTTTTCACCGTCATCATCATCATCCGAATTTTGTTTATTGGTGGTCTGCAAATAAATAGCCTTTTCCCGTTTTTGGGTTTTTTTTGTTGATTATTGTTCCAATCTCATAATATTGGATTGAAAGATTTCTCAAAGACGATGTGACTGTCATTTATAAATTCTTGAAAAACGAAAAATATTTATTTTTTCTCACAAGGGAATCGTCTTCTTCTCAAAACATTTTTACCATTTCATTTGAACACTATTAATCTTTTAATATTTTGTCACCATCATCATCATTGTAGAATCATTTTCTTTAGCTTGAAATTTTAATTTTATATTTCAGAAACTCATTTCCAGAATATTTTCGATTTTATGGATTGGTAGATTGTTTTTGTCACTGATAATCTTGAAAATAATAATAATGTTTGTTTTATTTTTATAAATTCTTAATTTGTTATTTGATTCAATCAATTGGAATCAAGTTTATTTGTTTGGCTAGTGTGTGGTCTAAATTACCAGCATTTGAAACGATTTTTTCTGATTTTCATCATTAGTTTCCAAAAAAAAATACAGTTAAAATGATAATAATTTCAACAAATTTGAAACTTTGACCACAAATAATAGGTTCCCATTTAAATCAACAATAGAAACGGGAAAATTTATCATTTGTATCAAGTAAATTTTATTTGTTTGTGTCAAATTAATTCCTGTTGGCCAAATAAAAACCAAGAAAAAAAGTAGATAAATAATGCTCGCCGAATTGACAACCGACAATAGTCGCCGATGTCATTGTCTCTCCTTAAAAAATCAATCAACCATCAGAATGTTTTACAAATTTTTTTATCCTCTTTATCGTTCTCATCATCATCATCATCATCATCGATATGTTTTACGAGTGTCAACACACTTTGTTCCCTTTTTTTCTGCTTACTTTTGTTTTTACGATTGTATATTTGTTTTATATTTTCGAATCATTGACTTTCCCTTTCAATAATCATCATTATATTTTTCTTATTGGAAACAAGAATTTTTTATTTGTTGTCGTTTTTTTTGATAGTTTGAATCGTCATTTATTGTGTTTTGTCACTTGTTTTTATTTTTGATTCTTGTAATCATCATCATTATTGGTTTGATTTTTTTTCTTGAAACGTTTTGTTTGTTTTTTTCATTTGAAACAACCGAAAAAAATACGATTTGATTTTCATTCATGAATGGTACAAACAATCGTTACATGTTTCAATATTTGAAAAGTTTAGATTTTGTTTTTGTTGTTTTTTGATCCAAAATTCCAATCACAAGAATTTTTTCGGTTTTTGTTTTTTTTGTTCAATTTTCATTATTTGGTTAGTTGTCCCTGAAGAATTTGCTGTTGTTTTTTAGAAGGAAAATTAGATGAAATCTCGATTATATGAAAAAAAACAGTCATCGGATTGGCAATGAACAATTCTTTTATCATTCATTCATTTTATTGTCTTGATTTAAGCCATAAAGATGGAAAATAAACATAGACAAAGATATATGATGAGAGATAAATTTAAACAAATCGTAGATATTCATATAAGCAAGCGTTTTCATTTTTTTCTTCTTTTTACAAATTTTTTGTTGTATGCAACATGATGATAAATTGGGATGTGAAAATTTTCTGACATTTACCCATCGTCTGATACTTTTCATCCATTTTCATTCATTTCAAGAACTGTTGTTTCAAAATAGGGGAAAAATGAAGTGAAAACAAGAAACAATTCTTAACCCAGAAAAAAAAGAATAAAATATCGAGCAGAAAAACAAATGTTAGGATCAAAAAAAAAATTGTATCTTACGAATGAATTTCACAGATTCATCTTGCCCGATAATAACAATATTTAACCATTTTTGACCATTTCAGATTGTTATGGAATAATAAAAAATTACCCCTTTTTTCACTATTACACTTACATGACCAGATGACGTTTTTTTTGGCAAATAAGAATGAATGAACAAAGAAAACAAAAAACAAAGAAAAATAAAAGATAAACTTGTGCATAAATGTTGTGAAAAATTACATATTACATACTTGAAAAAAAGAATCATTTTGGTTGTATTATCTTGTTCAATTTTTGCTTTTCATCATTCACATTTTCATTCGGTTTTCTTTTAGTTTTCTTTTCTTCAACAAACTAGATTCTTGTTGTCGAATGAAAATGTTTTTTTTTCGTTGTTTCTCGATTTGAAAATTCAAAATCGTTACACATCTATATGCCCACTGTATTTTATTCATTATTTTAAAAAAGAATGAATGAATTCAGAATAATAAAAAAGATAATAATAGTGATACATGAAAAAATTTTACATTTTCGACATTTTAAGAATATTCTAATCTTGCTATATTCATTCACTTTGGGGTGTGTGTAGATGTGTGAAATGATTCTTGAATCGTTTTTTTGTGTTGTCATTTTTTTTCAGAAAAAAAGAGTGAGAAGAAAAACAAATAAACAAACAACACCCGGCATTTTTACAAGTTTTATTTTGTTGTTTTTATTTGAAAAATTCTCTTGTTCGCTTTGTATGATCTGTTTTTTTTTGTTCATCATCAATTTTCGTTGATTATCCCTACACTTTTTTTATTCTTTTATTGTAACGATAACAATGTAAAATTTTAATCTTTATCTTTATTTTTTCTCTTTCCTTTTTCTACATTCAAACAAAAGCATATCCAACCATACGAGCTTTATTGGGAAAAAGTGTTGGACTTCCGTGTAATATTTCACAATCGATAAGAGAAGGAAATTCTATCAAACTAGTATTATGGTATAAAAATAATGTACTTGGATCACCAATCTATAGTGTTGATGCTCGTGATACACAAAATTTTAGCTTAGCTCGACATTTTATTGCCTCTTCTTATCAACAACGTGCATCATATGAAATGAATTTGGCCACACGAACAGCATCGTTGATTATCAATCCGGTTGAAGATAGTGATGATGGCCATTATATATGTCGTGTTGATTATCGTTGGACACGTACAACAATCAGTAATGTGCGGTTAGAAGTTATCGGTAAGTTGTAATTTATTTTCAATTTATTCAAGAATAATTTTCTCTCATGATGTTGATAATGCTTTTGAAAAATCTTTTGTTCAAATTATGGATCAACTTTACTTAATCCTTGAAAATAGCTTCTTTTTTTGTGGCCATTTTTCTTTGAAAAATGTATTTTGTTTGCATTAATAATATTAAAGTATTATAATCAGAATACAGATCATAAAATGGTCATGATTTGAAATATAAAAAACCTAATACAGTACCAAATAATAATAATACCTTAACCACAACGATTGTGGAGTCGAATGAAGAGAATTTCATTATCGTTCAGTGATTTATTTCTCCATTTATCCGGTGCGTAAAGGCCTAAATCTCTTTTTTCAGTAAAAACCTATTGGACTAACGGCATATTCATAAAGCTTTTGAGTCAATTTATTCGGAATGAAAATTACTGAACTTTTTTTTATCCATTGGCAAGACAAATATATTTTTAATATTTTTTTCTACGGAATATAGAAAATTCACTGAATTTTTGTTGTTGTTTTTTTTCCATATTAGCTTTTCCATTTTACCGTAAACGATGTGCTCGGCAGATCATTAATCAAATCTTTGAAACCTCTATATCTCATTGTATGAAATACACTGTGTAGATTACGTGTTTCATCTATTTAATACAGGAAGGATGTATGTGTGTACGAGGTTCATGTCTTATCTCTTGTTACAAAAAAAAGGCGCTGAAAAAAGTCTATGGAAATGTGAATTTTTTTATTTGTTTTATAACTCGATTTGTTTGTGTAAGATCGAATATTTAAATATTTTTTGTTGTTGCATAGTTCGTGTGGTTGTATGCTGATTTTATTTGATTCATTCGATCGATGATATCAAAGAATGGAGATACCCAATTAACAATAAATTTTAAAATTTTTTGGCACACAATTTGTCTATTTTTTTGTCTTGTCGGAAATGATTATTGTTAGACAATCAATCAAATAAGTTAATTTTTTTTATGATAAATCAATAATTTCGAACATGATTTTTTCATATTTTATTCATTTTTTTGGGTATCATTTCCGTCTGATCGTTGATGAATGTACTAACATTTGATTTATTAAAATTATTATTATGTATTCTATACAAGTTTCTTTTTTTTCAACAATAATTTTATTACTTTTAAAATTTCAATGTTTCTTCATGATAGTTTTTTGCCAGTTTTTGTTTTGTTTCTTTCTTTTCTTTTACAATGTTTGATAATTTGGAAAATGAAATTGAAAACGATATATTTTTTTAATGTTAAAATAAAATTTTTTTATCGAAAAATATAATTTTCCCTTCACCTAAAGTGAAAACGTGTCGAGAAACGTTAATTTTTTAGTATTTTTTTCCATCACTGTTGTGGCTGAGAATTTTTTTTCGGATGTTCAAATAATAATCATTACGAGTTCTTTTTATTTCGCTGTAAAAATTTGGTCAATAAATCTTCTTTCTTTTTACTCATCATTTTCGAAGTATATATTTGTTTTCTCGGCTGGCCGAAATGATTCTCATAAATGAGAATTTACGTAACCTTTATTTTAATGATAATACAATTGCTAGAATCCGTAATTTCTCGTCCTGGTATGTTAGTTTTGTTTTTTTTTGCTATTTTTTCTGTTTCGGTTAGTATCATCAAAAAATAATAACATAACTGTTTAATTTATCCGAAAACAATTGAAAAGCACTATCTGATATATACCGAAAAAACAAAACAAAAATATAATCCATAATTGATATTTGACTTATGGGTTATTTCTCAAATAACGGTATACTATTCAGAAAAAAAAACATTCTCTTTTTTTCATTGAAAGTTATTTATAACGGTAAAGATTACATTCATTTATATTAAGAAAATTGAACCACACTACTATTTTTGTATTATTATATGTTCAATATAAATAAATCCGATTTTCATCCTTATAAACGAATCATACTAATACTTTTTTAGCTAAAATTACAATAATAATATAATAAGATCGTTTTGTCTTTTCAGAAATTCCAATATTTTTGTTGTTGTTGTTTCGATTCACTAATATTATGATTGTTATCAGTATTATTGTTTTCGTCGAGAATCTAATACTTAATCATGACAGATTCTATATATAGTTTTATTCCATGTTAAAACGTCATATGCCAACAATTTTTTTTAAATCTCAATAATAACAGCTTGAAATAATTTAAAACTTTAACGAAAATAATTTTTTGCATTTTTTTTTGACTACGGTTGCTGTTTGATCTAAACAACGATGAAAAAAATGAAGTGAATTTTAAATTAGGATCAATCAAATGATATTCGTTTGGCTATTAGAGGTTCAGCTATAGAATAACTAATTTAAAAAAAAATGTTCGGACATCTTTATTATAGAATTTTTTTTCCGTTTATTTTATTGCTAATGATGATCATTATTGTGCAATTTCATGGCTATTATTTTTTTTAAAGAAAATGAAAATAGTTTTTATAAGTATACGGATGTAATTTAAATATGAACGAAAATAAATCATGAAATTCTATGATAAAATTTGATCATCAATTGATAAAGTTTTTTGTTGTTGTGCCTATTGTGTTCCAAAATTTGCAGGATACCAATTTTCAATTTTTGAACCTTCATTTTGAGTTTATTATTCATTGTTATTGATTAACTGATGGCTTTAATCAAATTCTTCTTGATTATATTTAGTTGATGAAGATATATTGTTCATTCATTTTTTATCGTCTTTTTTTTATTGTTTATTTTTATAGTTCCACCATTTATGATACAGATAGTGCAAAGTTATCAATATCAACCAGAACCAATATCGATGATGTCAACAAAAAAAATGGGCGTTGGTCAACATGGAATATATTTTCCAATGAAAAAAATAAATATTACAATTGATTCGAAACAAAAAAGTTTCGAAAGAAACTTTCATTATAGTATTAGATCTACAATGCCATTCACATCATCTATTGACAGCAATGATTCACCAACACTATCATCAACATCAACAAAACAATCCAATAATGGTGTAAATTCTGGTGTACCAACATCATCAACAATGATAAATGATGTGACCACCATACGACAGCCAGAATCGAGCACCTTAACGCTTAGCTGTGATTCGATCGGAGGTTTGTTATTTATTTGAAACTTTTTTTTATTATTTTCATGAAAAAAAGATTTACCATATCCTATTTGTATGTGTGTGTGTGTTTTGAATAAGAAATCAGAATGAAATTTGTTTTTATTTGCAATGAAATCAATTTTTTTCATAGAATATTTATTCATTTAAAAGAATAGCATAAGTGTTTATATCATTGAATTGTCTAGGAAATTCTTGTGGTTGCATGGCAATCCATTTAGGCAGATAATTTTTTTTTCTTTTTCCTTAAATAATAATAATAATTTGTTTCGATTTGTTGTGATTTAGTTATTGTATCCGTTAGTCCGTTGACCATTTCAATAATAATATATTTACATTCATGCAAATTTATTTCGCCTTTACACTTTTCCCATTACTTTCTATCATACGTGAAGAATTTTGGTTTTTTTATTTATACTTATTTTATTTTGGGCATGAATTTTTGATCGAAAATAAATATTTAGACTTTTTACCATCTATATTTTCAACTATATTCTGAATCTATTTTTAAAATTTTCTTTTTTTTTCCTTCTACGATTTTGTCTGATTTTCGAATCAATAATACTGATGTGGAAAAAAATATTTAACAAAAAATAAATAACAAAATGGAACAAACTAAACGCAAACAATTTGTTCATGCACAAAACAAACAGGCAAACCAATGTCAATGATAAAATGGTATCGTTTGACACAATTTGAGAATGCCAATCTAACCGATGCTCAACTTTACACGCTCTTACAATCATCCGGTATTTAGTTTTTCTTTTCTTTTTTCAATAAACACAAAAAATAACACTGTTTGTGTATGAAGTAAAATGCTGAAAATGTTCCAATTTCTATAGATATTGAACAAACTTTTTGGCATTTGGCAACATATACAATGATGTATTTTTTCTTTCTTCAATTAATTTATTCTTTTTTTGTTTTTTTTTGTTGTTTTTATCGACTTGGAACAATGACAACAACATAACGGGACTCCCTACTGTACTGATAACAATAATAATAATAATAATAATAATGTTGAAACAACCGATTCGATAATGAAAATGCCAGAAGAAAAAAGTATGCAACTAATCGATGATAGTTACTATCCAATGTTGTTGGCGTCATTGCCATCAAACATACCTAGATTATTGTTTACCAATAATCTAAATTTTACGTCAAAAAATTCTGCTGTAGTGTCTCCAAATATTGGTACTGCTTCTGCTGAAATGATAATGCAAAACAAAATGAATAAAAATCTAATTCGATTAAATCATTCAACAACAACAACAAAAACGAAAGATTCGGCCAAAATAAATATGGAACAATCGGGTTTCGAAAACATTAGCAATGGTATGATGAAAATTCCTATAGTCCGTAATGAGCTTCATATTGGCAAAATTTCAATCGACAATCATGGCCAACTATATCTTTGTAAGACGATCAATACAAATCTTACTCGATCTATTGATATTATTGTTCGATTGGAAGTGTTTGGTGAGCATTTTTTTCAAAAGAAAATTTATTTAAAAAATTTTGTTGAGTTTTTTTTTGGTTCACCACAAACATAATAATGTCAAATTTTTGTGATGTTTTTGGTTCAATTTTTCAAAATAAAAGAAAGAATTTCTTTCTTTCTTTCTTTCTTTCTTTCATTCAATATTGTTTTATATTCTTTGCACATTTTTTCTTTGATTTCATTTATTTCAATAGCTGGTCCAAAAACGATTCAAATTGAACAACGATTGCCAACACAGGATGGACATTTTCATGGTGTTAATAATGATGATTCAGATAGTCATCCGGATATGACTATCAGTAATAATAATCGTACATGGCATTCAATCGAGCTACTCGATCATTATCTACATCGTCATGGTTCGTCGACGGGATCAATGAAGATAGCCTCATCATCATCATCATCAACAGAAGCAGCATCATTTTCTTCAGCATCAATAACAAATAATAATCACTGGACACACGCAAAAAAATCATTTCGTTTACGTTCTGGTTATGAATTTGATTTTACATGCCAAACAAATGGATCATTACCTGATTCTCAAATATTCTGGTATTTACGAGATATAAATACAAATCGTCTACGTAATATTACCGAATTCAGGTTAGTTTATTGTTTTTTTTGTCATATTAGAGTCAAAAAAAATGCTTAAAAATATGATTGTGATGGTAAATAAATCACCATCATCATCATAATGTTTAAACTAGGACTTCAACAAAACAGAAATCTTTACTGATTATTTTTTACATTTTTGTTTTTTCTCAATTTTTACTTGTATGTCGTAATAGTAACATGTACCAAAATGGTCATAATACATTGAGCTATCTACGTATAGTGCCTCAATACACTGATAACAAAGCCAACTTGATCTGCCAAGCATACAATCCATCCATGTTACAGGAATTGATATTAAGCTTAAAACTATGGTTAAATTATACTACAAATGTCGAATCATCATTGTCATCAATATCAAAGCAAATAGAATCGTCCAGTAATCAACCAAATTTTTCATTAACAAAATCATCATCCTTATTGCCTTTAATTTCATCATCATCATCTTCTTCTTCTTCATCAGAAAATGATGACAGCCTATTGAATCAAGACTATTTAAATTCCATTATAACAAATCTAATGATGCACGATGAAGATGAAGATGAACAACAACAACAACAATATTTTCATCATCATCAACAAGATGAACAACAACCAAACAAAAATCTTTTTAAACAACTATCATACTACTTGAAACATTATCCATTTCAACTTTTTACTTCCGTTTATCTTGATGTTAATTGTGAGTGAAGATCTTTTAAAACATTTTAACATTACATGCATTTTTTTCAACACTTATACATAGATAAGATCATTTGCTTATTTGATTTGATATAAAAACAAATGAATCCATTTAGTCTGCATATGGTTGTAGTTAGTGATAAGAAACAAAATAACAACAAACATGATAATGATTAATCCTTTAGTTGTTAGTGGCCAGAAATTTTGGCCTTTAAAAAGATATAAGGGTGAAAAAGGTCATTTGTTATATCATCATCAATGATCTTAGTATATAAATAATACATATAAACAGTTCTACAGTAATGTCCAATGTATAAGAACATAAAAGATGGTGAACAAAAAAACAAAAAAAAACATTATGAATTTGTTGAAATTCTCTCGACGAATTCCTATTATAATGATGATAATGAAAAAAATGACAAACATTTAAATACAATTAATTGAACCCTTAATATTGTTAGTGTTTTGTTTTTCATAAATAAATGTAGCTGATGAATGAAATAAAATACCCAGGGAATCATTGTACAAAATGATAATAGTTCATATGAATTTTGTATCCAAACAAAAAGAAAACGATGTGTATTGCAAAGAAAATGATAAATATTCTCTTGAGATGTTACCCCTAAGAAAAGAAAAATTCTATGCACGATTATTATTGTCATTATATCCAATAAATTTTTTACACAATACATTTTATATGTAAACATTGATCTGTGTTTTTTTTAGTATTGGTTAATCTTAATGTGTTTAGAAAATAGTGAAAACAAAAAGGAATGAAGTGAAGAACCTCAAAGAGAAAAAAAAATTCAAATTCTTTTGAAACAATAATGATTTTCAATTGTTCTTTCTTTATTGTGTTTTTTTTCGCTCTTTCCAATCTAAGAGATAGGTGTCGATTCTATGCAATTATGCTGTTTAAAAAAAATGTATGCTAACAATACTCAAACCATGATCTAAGAATAGATTGCTATATTTTAGAATGAGGAAGAAGAATAGATTTTTTATAACCAAAAAAAAGCATTTCAAGAACAACGATTTGAAAAACAAAATACAAAAGAAAATCGCCGAATAAACGCAAATAAACGCGAATTTTTTTTGCTGTTTCCTTTGTTTTGTTATTATATTTGTTTAAATTGTTTGAAAAAAATTGAATTTTCAAATTTTTTTCTGTTGAAAACATTATTATGTAATGGTTGGGCATAAATTTTTAATACCCACAAAAATCCCAAGAAAAAGTTTTGCGAATACTTTTCATCATAGCCATGACCGAATTCAAGATATTTTTGGAAAGGAATCTTCTCATATACACCTTGTTCTATCAATACATACTTACCTATAGATTGAGATTCTTCATCATTATCGCTGATGTTGTATAATTTAATTACATTGAGTGCCAATTTTGTTAATGTTTGAAAACATTGTGAATCAAAAATATAGACAATAAAATTAAAGAATTAATATGAAATTCAATCGAATATTATCAACATAATGTCAATTGAATATAAACATAATCTTATAGAAATGATTTTGTTGCTCATTATTTATCAATAATCTTGTTGTTTAATCTTTTATTTTGATCTAATTTTTTTTCGAAATAGACAAACCAATCGTATTGATCAAAGTTTTGAGCGGCGAACAAATGTATCATGAAGTATCATCATCCAATTCAAACATAAATAATGATTATATCTCGAATCGATCAAATGCATCCGTATTTTCTCAAACTGATAATAGCAAAGATAATCATCAAAAATATTCAAATCTTAATAATAATAACAAAAATAATAATCAACAAGCAACAACAACAACAACTGCTACATCATCTACAATGGAACATTATTATCGATTCATTGAAATGTCTGAAATATTTTTCAATTGTACAATAAATTCAAATCCAGAATCATATCTCATTGAATGGTTTATGAATAAAAAATTGATTTATACCGATATTCCAAAAGGTAATTTAACATTTGCTTATTATGTTTAGTTCTTTTATGTTTTTTCCTGTCAATGTATGAAATATTGTCCAAAATCAAATTTGATTTTTGTTTTCAAATTGGCTGTAGACGATTTGGAAATCGAAATCGAAAAAAAAAGTTTTTTTTCGCTTATTTTATTTTCAGAATTGTATTCATGAAAAAAAAACGATTTCGGATGCTTACTTTTTTGCACCGGAATTCGTTACGTATCTTTAAGATCATATGAGACATAAGATTTTTTTTTCAATCAGAATTTTATTCCATATAGATATATTTTCCATAATGATTTAGATCTAAAAATAGTGATAAAGATAATTCTCATCATCCTTTAGAAGGATATTTTCTGTTGAGAAAATATTCATTCATATTCTAATAGTTTGAAATCTGTATAAAAATCAGATTACTCATGCAAATCATCATCAAATTTAATAATGATGATGACATTTTCACCAAAATTCGATTTGATTTTGGAATCTTAACAACAATTCTTTGGAATTTTTCGGGGACCTAACATCAATTTTAATGAAGAACAGAAATCCATACACCCACAGAATATTAGAATTGGATTCATTTTTTTTATATATTCAAAACAATTTCTTTCTATAATTTTTTTACAAGTTGAATTTTTTTCCTAGCTTACTGATTGGAATCTAAATTTTTTAACAATTGTAAATCACAACATTGATAATAAACATAGAAAAAAAGAAAAAAATGTTATGATGATATTATTCCAATTCAATTTTTTTCATTTTATTCCACCAAAATGTTTCTCTTGAATGTGATTAATGAATTTTTTCTTTCTATTTGGCTATTCCACTTAGTGTTTTTTTTGGATTTATTTACATTTGAATTTTTCGTAGCCTGGACATTACACAGGCTTTTTGTGTAATGAATCATATCATATATCTTTGATAAAATTTATTCATATTTCTTTTTCTGGACAAAAATAATAAAAGCTGAAACATTTTTTTCATTGTTGATTTTTTTCTTCTTTTCTACAATGTAAAATAGGCATCATCATAACGAATACAAATCGTACATTGATTATATCACCATCACAACGGCGATCATCAGGAATATATCATTGTTCAGCGACAAATATTCTTGGCAAAACTGTCAGCGATCGAGTTCAAATCGACATTCTTTGTAAGTGACCGCCATTTTTGGAATATTTTTCCATTTTTTTTTCTATTATTTTCATTCAAGAGTTTTATTATGTGAATATAATGTTATGTATCCGTGTATTACATTTTTTTTTCACTATTCATAATATATGATTCTTGACTTTATAATGACGTTTCAGAACTGTGTTTGTGTATATGAGAGAGAAACACATTACTTCGAAACATATAATGATAGATTTTGTTCCGTTGAAGAAGAATAAAAAGAAAAAATCTGTTCATTGATTTATAATTTCAATGAAAAAAAACTCTCTTGAAATAAGATCATCTTCAATTCTTTGTCCATTGATTCAGAAGATTGTGTTTGAATAATCGTTGAAAAATTCATTCACCAACTTTTTCCATTGTGATCACATTTTGTTTAATGATTTATAAGAAATTCATACTTCAGAAATCTTATTACTTTACCCAAATCGAATACCGACTAAAGATAAAACAAGACCCAAAAAATAGAAAAAACCCAAATACAAATAATACTTGAATCTTAACTGAATAATGAAATTGAATAAAAATTAAGAGATGAGATTACCCAAAAATTAGAAACAAAAGATCAAAGTTGGAAGATTCTAAAAATACCGAAAAAAAGGGTAATCATTTTTTTTCATTAAATAACCGTTATTAGGAAATTCAATTGAATTTAATTCTAACCAGAGAAGATTTTTATCTTGAATTCTTGAATGTGCGTAAGAAAAAAACGAAAAAAAAATTTGACTAAAGAAATTAATGATTAAAATTTGATTTATGAACATTGGATTATTGCTTTCAATTGTTTTCGTTTCATTTTCATCATCATTAAATTTTACATAAATCTTTCGGTTTTTCATTGATGTTCGATTTTTTTCTGCTCTTGGATTTTCATTGTAAAATAATTATTCAAATGGCTACAAATTGTATGCTATTTATTTGATTTAACTTTTTTCCAAGCATCTTATTATTATAATGTTAGTTGATTTGAATATTTGTTCTATGAGAAAAAAAAGTCCGTCCATTCCAGGAATTTTTTGAACATTCAGAATTCATTGTGAAGTTATTTCCCCATAACTGGTAATTTTTTCCTTATCACTTAATTTCGAGCGGCAAGATTCTTTTTTCAGCATTAAATGTTTCAATGTTTGAAATTTCCAAATGTAAATTTCTATTTCAAGAATAATGATTATCAAAGAAAAAAAGATTCGGCCAAATACAAATGAAATTTTTAATCTGATTTTTCGGACAGACGGTTGACGTTTTTTGTATTTACAGTGGTATATTTTTTTCCGGTTAACGATGATGAATTTGTTTGAAATAAAACTACCAAACATCGTTAATCAAAGCCATTATTAAATCGAAGAATAGTTGTAATTTATTTTTATATTGATATAATTCTATAGTCTCTATATCGAATCATGAATCTAATCTAATGGAAAGGAAAATATTTTTCCATTTGAAATTTTGTGGAAAATTGTTTGCCATTTTTTTTCAATTTCCAGACTTTTTTTTCATGTCTTTTTTTTACAGATGATTAAAATTGGTTTTGTTCGTGTTCGAGTTTGTGTGTGTTTTTCCATCATGCATTACATTCCATTCGTAAAAAAACATAATGGCATACAAGGTATAAGTGTGTGTGTGAGCGAATGGCTTTTTCACACATCTCAATGTTAACATCGATATATCTACAGAACTTTTTCTAAATTTCGTTATTCACTAAATAAATGATCAAATTGTCTCCAAATATATTTCCTGAACTGTATTATTTTTCACTTCGAAATTTTCAACAGTTTTTGTTGAATTTCTGGAATTTTTATTCGTACAGCCAAAAAATGATATTGCACGCGTTAGTAAAAAAAAAGAAAATCTAATCAACGTCATTTTATAGGAAATTCTGTTAAAAGAGAAAAAATTATTTGGAATTCACGTTGATGTTCAATGAATGTATATTTCGTGAGAAAAAGTAAAAGTAAAAAAAATCATTGCCATTTTCTTCCAAACTAAAACATTTTTCAAAGGTCTAAACATCATTAAAACATTACATTCGTTTATCGCTTTCGAAACATTAGAAAATTTTTATTATTATTATTATTATCATTATTTGATTTAGGTTTTTAAAACATTAGTATTGTTTTCAAAGTTTAATTTTGGTCGAATTTTCTACTTTTCGGAAATCTATCGTCAAACTATTATTTGTTTGTCTGTTTGTTTTTAATATCCGAAAAAATTGGTTTGACTTGGTATTTTTTTTCTATTGGAATAATGTTTTTCTGATTATATGATTCAGACATAAAAACCTCATTGATGACGATAATAATAATCATTATCATCCACACCGTCATTCGCTATGGTTTTTTTATCGTTTTGATTTTTTTTTTTTGATTGTAATGTTTTTATACTTATTATCATTATCGTTGGTCTTAATGGTTGTAATGTTTTTTTTTGTTTTTGTTTACACTCATCCATAAACAAAGTTTTCTATTGATGTCAATAATAATCATCATTATGATCATAAGATTTAATTCAAAAATGAAAAAAAATCCTATATTTCAATACATCGTTCACTTTTTTCACGATGATGTTCATCATATGTTTCCTACATAAAATATTGATTCATTCGCGAAAAAAAACTTTCTTCATTTATATGATTCATTTTTTTTGCAATCTTTAATGCTTATATATCCATAACCACAGCCATATAAAGAGATTAAAATTTTTATTAAAAATCCCGTGTGGGTGTTTGTTGCCATAATTTTTTCCCAGAAAATCTAACCTATGCAAAAAAAAATGAATAGCATCAGAACAAATTATATAACACAATTATCGATCAATAGAAAAAAGAATCCAAAATTTTTTTCTTTTTGATTCCGTTTTTTTCTCTAGATTTGATGATAAAATAACTACAACGTCGAAAAGAAGATGGATGAGAGATTTTTTTCCAAAGAATGTACACCTACTCCCCGAATACGATAGCAAAGTATCGATAAAAATTCTACATTATAATGATAGTCTGTGTCTACATTTTTCATCAGTATAAACTTTTTTTTTTGTTTTGTTTTGTTTTTGTTTCAGTTATTCATCAAATACTTGAATAAAAAGGAAACTTTGAAAGTATGAGAAAAATTAGAATTATCAATTCTTTCTTGTAAAGTTTTTTTAGCTCTCTTTTTTTCTTCATTTTGGCTACAATACCATTTTTTCCATGGAACTAAACAATGAATATATACGATTGAAATAAAAGATTGATCTAAACCATTCTTTTGATTTGTATGTTTATTTGTTTTTTTGTTTCAGTACTCTTTAGAGAATTTTATTTCTCATGCAATCAATATATCAGTTACAATGAGATTCTTTAACATTGAATTTTTGTTCATGTTAACCTTTCGGTTAAAATTTTCGATTCTTTACATTGTATTATTGATTGACAACAACATAATGTTATTTGATGATAATGACCAATTTGATTCAATATATAGATTTTCTGTCGAAAAAAAAATCTACAACCAGATGTTTTTTTCTTCTCATCAATCGTTTTTTGTTTTTGTTTCCGTAGCCAGATGCTTGTTTGTTTGTTTGTTTGTCACTATATATATTGGCACGATAGAAACAAATTGTTTTTTTCTCATCATCATCATCATCCAAATTATCGCTTAGAGTCAATTAAATATCGATCCATTATGACAATGTTTCATCCATCAGCAAATGAATTTTGTTTTAAATTCACTTTAACTAGAAAAAAAACAAAACAAAATCGAAATTAATATAATGTTATTATCTTATTTATATTAAAATCAAAATAATAAAGATCATCATCAATCTAATTAGAATTCAAGATTTTTAACTTAGTTTTTTTTTCTTGGAACAAAACCTAACCGAAGAGTCTATTGAATCAAGTGAATGTTACAAAGATGAATTAGATCAATGGATAATTTTTTTTTTCTAGAGGCTTAATTCTATTTGCATCAACATTCACTTTTCGATATTACAATATTATTTGCCATCATTATTCTGGGAAAAAATTGAGAGATTGATGCCTTTCGGCTTTGAGCTTAATAATTTGAAAATTATTATTATTAGTACATATTCTTACTTAAATTATATATAAAGAAAATGATTCTAATTAAGAAATTTTCCTGTCATCATTATCGATGATGATGATGATCTTAGTTCATCATTATCACAACTTATAATATATACATTATGAATTTATTACCCATCTATAAAATAATAATAGATCAGATGTCTTAGCAACGAAAATAAGTTAATATTCTTATGACGAAATCATATACCTCTTCATTATAATTCTGTATGAATATTGTTTTCCCGCCGGCTCAATTTCTAATGTAGATTAATAAAGATTTTTTTCTTGGCATCGTTAACGAACAAAAAAAAAAAAAAAAATATTGAAAATTGATTTTTTTTTGTCGTAATATACCAATCTCATGTCTTGATGACGATGATGAGTAAAGATAAATTAATTGGTCATTTTAGTTTTTTTACGATATTACATTTTATGTTTGTATTTATCATCAATTTGTTATGCTTATTTCTTATTATTGGTTCTAATTTATCATCATTATATTATCATTTATTTTATGAATACTTAATATGATGTATGACATCTTCAAATTGTGAATATGTTTTTTTATTAATAATTTTCCAGCACAGTAATTTCATCGATATTACATTTATTTAATTAAATATTTTTTTTCCACATTCCCGAATTGGAATATTGCTTACAATTTAGTTTTTTCTCACTATTATTGAATTCATTCTATAATTTTTTCAAGACATTTTTTTTTTCGTTTCGTCTCTTGTTGTTCATGAATATCAATTTTGATTTGTTCGTATGTTACAACAATTCAATGAATGATTTTATGCGATAACAGAAACATGAAAAAAAAGAAATCGACCATTTATTTTTTTCAGGTGATGATTTTTTTTGTTGCATGTTTTTCATCGTTGTAAATGTCTTGTCCTTCATGTTGTCTTGATGGAATCGGATTCTTTTCCATCAAGTAATTTTCCTTATTTTTGCTTTCATGTATCGCTTGAAATTTTCCACATTTTATTTCCTTTCTATTTTGAATATAAAATAAGAAAATTGACGTTTAATTTGTAAAGTTTTCCAATAAGCTGATTAGATTTTTTTTTTGTTTTATTTAAAGCTCACGTTTATTCATTGAAAATTCTGATCGTGTTCTAAACTGTCCGATTATGATGGTCAATGGCTATTATCATTTGTACCCGCAACCATCATGAAAGCGCGAAAAAAACAATTTTTCTCTTCGTGATTATCATGTATGACTATTAAAGAAGCAAAGAAAAAAAAACGAGTGTCCAATCGAAAATTTATTCAAGCTTTTTAATTTGTTTTTGGTTACAGTCACGTGTTGGTCCCATTTTGGTTTTTGTTACTATAGTATCAGTCCGATTTTGTTTGATGTTGTTTCAGCTAATTTGCATAATTTCTTTTCATGTTATCACAAACTTTTTTTGAAATTTTTTTTTGCTTGTCAATTTTTTCTTTTGTCGATTGAGCTCATTTTTAATGTCACATATAACATGAAATTCTTGATTCTGTTTAACGAAACAAAAAAATCTTTTAGTTTTTGAACATGCATCATTGGCTTTTATGATTCTGTTTGATCATTGGGTCATCCTATCCTTTCATTCTTATGATGATGGATCATCGTAGTTGTCGTTTTATCATTGTATATAAATTAGAATCATCACCAAGTTAAAATACTCGATTAATGTATGTTGAATTTCAAAAGAATCGGAAAAAATCTTCAAGATCAATCATAAATGATGATGATGATAATGACAAAATGATTGATTTGATGAAAAATATTTACAATGTTTGATCCAGATGATTTTGATGTAACTCTTCTCTACTTTTTAAAAATATCATTAGTTTCATTTCCTGATATATCCTATTCTCATAATTTTCATTCTATCCTAAACTAATATTATGATTTTTTTCATTTCATTTATAAATATAGTTAAGCCTCAATGTCAAGTTGAATTTGTTCAGACCTACTATCAACATCTAGATGACTATGTTCAACTTAAATGTCATATCATAGCGAATCCAAGTGAAGATGTACAATTCACATGGAGATTCAATGATACTGTTTTTATTGGTGATATTAATAGTGCCTATACTTCATCATCATCGTCGAGTGAATCTTTTGTTGATCATGTTCAAGATATATCTTCTTCTTCATCGATTGAAGATGTCATCGATCAAGAATTTATAATTCAAGATAGAAACAAAATCAACAACGACAAACAAAATGATAATCATAGCTGGAAAACAAGGCGAATATTACCGCGACCAAAATCTACATCAATACATACAACTATTGATCATCAACATTTGGTAACAAATGTTATACGAATACATTTGAAAAAATGGTCAAGTTTTGGTCAATTTACATGTACAGCTAAGAATTCTATTGGTATTCAAAGTGAACCATGTCGTTGGCAATTAATACCACATCATTATCATACACATTATCGTAATAGTTATGAATCATCAATGAATAATATTCATAGTAATCGTCATCAATATCACCATCATCAACAGCAACAACAAAAATCACAATCATTGATGCAGCAATTTTCATCATCATCATCATCATCATCATCATCTCGATTGCCGAATCAATTGAATAATTGTCATATAATTGAATCATCGAATGCTGTTGTTATCAAATGTTCAAATGGTGTCGAAGTGTATGAACGAACATCTGATAATACGTATCAACATCTGGAACCTATACAACATACGATTAATATGAATGATAGTCATTATCAAAATAATAATAATCATTTTTCTAATCATCATTTAGATATTAATAATAATAATAATGTTTATGAATATCCTGATGATAGTCTATCTAATCAACAAGGTAAGCAACATTAAGTCAGGTCAGAAGCATAATCTATACAATAGTTCAGTTTCATTTTGATAGTGAAATGAAAACTGAATGATGATATTCAAAATGATCAGTATGCACTCATTTTCATTTACCTAAAGCTACCATTAATTAATGATTTTTTTTCGCTATTTTTTTTGTTATTCTAAAACAGTTCGTCCACTTTTAACCTATCATGTACAAGTTTTTCGTTTATCAATGAATAACAACAGCATCAGCCCGATTATCAAAACTTTAGAAAACCATAAAGCTAATGAAAAAATGGCAGACTATAATTTCGATAATGATACACCAAACAATGATAATAATAATAGTGATAATGATGATGATGATGATGATGAACACTTTGAACAATATTCGCATCAAAAATCTGGACCAAAAAAAACAAAAATTTCAACTACATTGAATCAACCTGAAACAAAGAAACAAATTGCCTCAATACATAATGCAGTTTCAAATTCTCACAGTGAATCACCAACAGAAATGACAACAACAAAGACAACAATAACAAACGAACCATTACCGATAATGGAAACACTTAATTTCACAAATCCATTGTTCATCATTACTAATTTAACTTCATCAACATCGTATTTATTACGAATATGGTCAAGCAAACAACATATGGATGATTCAATGATTGAACAGGTAAACATAACCGTTCGAACAAAACCGGATGACGATGTATTCGATCATGATCATCATCAACGCCAACAGCATGATAATCAATCACAAATGAATCAAAAATCAATGAAAATTTTAGACAATCTATTATCTTTGATATCATTTGGACATAAAGATTTATTTATTATCTTGATCATATTGTTAATATTTATAATTGTCATTTTTACTTATGCAATACGAAAAGTTTATCATCATAATTCTAAAGGTAATAACGAAAAAATATATTCTATATTCATTAAATGTCCTGGAATAATTGATTTTAATCATTTTGTTTTTTTCTTATTGAAATTTTTTTCATTTCGAATATATTTGTATCTTTTTGGTGTTCTGTTATTATAATAATAGCCGGACGTGATGTGAATGATAACTACAACGATATCAACGAAGGTGATTATAATAATAATAATAATCATCATTGTTTAAATGCTCATCATACAAATGAAAATGAACGTTCATCACCATTATCATCATCGGCGATTAATGTATTTGAAACTGCTTTATGTGAAATGCGTCCCGAAACACTTGAAAATGATTTGAAGTTTAAAAATTTAACCACCCCATCATCTTCATCATCGGCAACGACAACAACAGCAGCGACAACAGGTGCAGCTCTAACTCTTACAAATCCTTATTCAGCAATATTGGATACATTTAAACCATATCATATGAATATGGAAAATTTATCCAATGATCATCAATCGCATCATACAGCTACTTCATCATCAGCTTTAATCATTAAATGTGATCTTCCAGATTCATCAATAATTACATATCAAAATTATTTATTTCCATTGACAACATGTGAATCAACATCGGCTACAACGACAACATCAACAACAACAACAACGAATAGTATAACGGAAGATCTAACAATGATGACCGATACCACAAACAATAATGGTGCATATATTTCAATCGATTCTGCAAACGTCGTCAATAATGAAAATAATAATGTTTTAGATACGATTGGCACAAATGTTACGAATAATCATAATCATAATAATAATTCTCACGTAAGTCAGCATATTTTTTTATATTCCATTTTGTTGCTGTTTCTTTTTCTTATCACAAATTATAAAAAATAGAATTAAGACTGAAAATTAGAATTTATTTCTAACTTTGATCTGATATTTTTTTTCATTTTTTATATGTCTCTATTCTCGTATTGTTTATATTGAAATTTTCAAATTCCGTACACTGAATAGTCATATCCATACGAACAAACAAGCCAACAGTCTCATACGGCAAATTTTACTCGAAATGAATTTACAATGAATATGAATGATCCAACAACAACATTATTGGAACAACAAAATTACCATCATCTTCACGATCTCATCCATAATCATCATCATCATCGTCATCACCGTAACAATAGTAATCATCATCATTATCCTCATCATGGACATTCGGCAATCGTCAATGATTCTAGAATGAATAATAGTGGTGATGATAATGTTGATAGTGAATCATATTTGTTATCAAATTCATTTCAATATCCCTTGAGTGTTCGAATCGTGCCAACTGATATTAATGATGCCAACATTTCAAATGCTACTTCGGTACAAGTTGCTACTGAATCAACAACAGATATTTATAATTCGAATTCACCGAATAATGACAATAATAATAATAATAATAATAACAGCAAAACGAACAAGATCCATACATTAGTATGACAAACAAACCTGATATAAACTTGAATGTATTGAATAAAGGCACCTCTATGCACATCATACATAGGTAAGTTGATTGATATCTTTCGAATCGAAAATATTTACACACCGAAAAGCAGACATCAACAGATTTGATTCAGAAAAATTCAACACTTTTAGACATTCTTATTTATCACTATCTTTTTTCATTTTTTTCAGATAAATAAATTGTCATCATACAATGCCAGATTCTTTCTCATCATTATTGATTGGATCGATTTCAAACAGATACATACATTAATGGACGAACAAATCGGACATCTATGATCAACTAATTCAGTATTATCAAACAACTATCCTATAATTGGATCCGTTGCCGTTTTTTTTCTCTCTATGATTCATCCAACCGGAATATTAAACAGAAAATTCGATTTTCGACTTTTGTTTTGGATTAAGCGACTGGACAAATGAACAATGAAACTAAAGAAAAAAAATGTCTACCCGAAATATGATGTGTGATGATTACAAAGTTTAATGATGATGATGGTATCCATGAATGGAATTGATGGGTGTGAAAAAATAACTGGTGAAATCATTGATTTTTTTTATACTTTCACTCAAATACTGGCTTTTCACATGGGGGCCGACTAATCGATTCGATTCTATAAAGTTTACAAAAGATTTTTGTTATTTATGTCTGATGAAAAAAGATAAAATAAAATGAAATTAAAGAAAAAAAATCGATTGTCATAATTTTCAATAGTAATACTTTTATCTGTTTTTTTTAATGTTGTTGTTCTTTTTTAAAATATAAATTTATACACTCAAATCAAATCAAATGAACAATGCGATAAGAATGTTAATAAAAATAAAGAGATAATTTTCAAATTCAATTGTAACAAAGTTAAAATCAAATAAATAAAAAATGTGGTGAAAACAATGAAAAAAAAGAAATTCGAATCTCAATTTTTTCAATACCAATTGATTAGGGACCAGATTGAATTTTCAAATTTTGCATAAAAGCCAATGAAATTTTCTTTAGTAACATCATAAAGATTAAAGTCTGGATTCATTTCTGGAAGGCAAATATGAAAAAATAACTTCTGGTAATAATTGGTATCAAATCTGCAACTGTATTCAGAAAATTTTTGAACCAAACAAAATGACGTAAACAAAACAAAAAAATATATAAAACAACTATTTTGAATGATATGCAAAAATTCTTTATATTTTTAGAGTGAACGAACTAAAAAAATATTCACCATTAACCTAAATATCATATATGGTATTCTCCGTCAAACATTGTCAAATTCTTAAGATATTGATTTGGTTTAGTGTCAAAAAAAAGAAGAAAATATTTTCTACATTTCTTCAAACAATCAAAACAAAACAAAAAAAAAGTATCAACGTGAAAAAATGAACATTGATATTTGTTCTATACAAAATATTAAAAAAAATTCTTCATTCATTTTATTGAATGAAGAAATGCAACTTTCTTGTTTTTTAAAGTTCATTTATCCATTGTCTTCTTGGACCGATGATAATAATGATGATGATGATGATGGTGACAATGACAATGGATGTAGCTCGTTTTTTCTTTTCTTTTTTTCAATGTTTCTTTTCATAGTTGATATAACCAGAGGGAAGTGATGGCAAGTCGTTTAGAAACACTTTTTTTCGCTATAATTTTAATATATTTTCTATGGAACTTTTTTTTCAAAAATAATGTATATGTTGAATATAATAAAAAAAATGGGGGCGGAAACTGAATGCAAGTAAAAAATTGAAAAGGAAAAAGTTTTGTTATCATAATATGACAACAAACAACAAATGGTCGTTTCTCATATATGAATAGCCAAATGAAATGTTTGACTGAGAAGATATTTTAATTTTTCTGGATCAAGTTTGTTTTTTCTTCAAATTAACCGCTATGTATTAAAAGCAGTAAAAGTCGATAGTGTTAGGCTTATCGCTATTGTAATCATCGATCCGAAGCTGTGTATTTGAAATGAAATCTTTTTTTTTTGATGATCCATTCATTTTTTTTTTCATCTAGTCTTTTTTTATTTATCTTTTAGTATCATTTGTTGTATTAGATTTTTTTTTCTAGATCAAATTTTTCTTCATCTTTTTGCACTAAATGTTTTATTTGAAAGCATGAAACAAATGATACTCTCAACGATATTTTGTTACTTTTATACATTCATTTTTTATTTTGATACTTCTTATTGCAATGACTTTTATTTCATATCATCATTTGAAGATTGCTTTTTTTCCTCTTCTATAAATGTCCTTTTACTCTATCATGATAATGATAATGATGATGACTATGGTGATAATCGCTATCGAATTGAATGGCTCCCGTTGTTCATCATCACACACACACACACACACACATATCCGAATTATATTTTGAATTATTTCAAATTTATAACGATCATAATGTGAGAACTGATCGAATTCAATTCAATTTTTTTGTTGCTTATTTTGTGCTATTTTCGATTATTGATTCTATAAGATCATTTTTATTGCAATTGTTTCCACTTAACACAAAAAAATGATGGGCATATTGTATTGAATTTTTTTAAAATTGATCTTTTATCGAAATCAATCGAATAATAGGATTAACAATTTTAAAATGAATTTTTTTCAAGTCAAAAAACTTTATAAAATAAATCAACAAATCGGTATCATCATTTGTCCATAAAATGAAATCCAATAGTAATTGTGTTAAGGATCACAATATTGAATATTACGTGAATTTATTTATGGTCATTCTTCCAATAAATGATCTTTAACATATTGCCAACGAACATAAGTTACTTTTGTTTAAATCAAGTATCGGAAATCACTTTTTTCAATTTCATTCTTGATTCTTATCATTTAAACAATTTTTCTTAACTCCATGGAATCCAATTATAATCATTGCTTGAACAAATAAATGAATAAATGCAAAAATAAGCATAAACAAACCAAAGAATGAAACAAACTAATATCATCAAAAAAAAAAAATCAATTTCCAAACATTCAATTGATTTGATTCGAATGAATGAATTTAGTGACATTAAATCAAATTAGCGTTTTATTCTCTAGCCGGTTATTCAATGATTGTGAGATATAAATTGTGTATACAAGATTCATGTGTTTAATACGACATTTATATACATTGACATAATTGATGTAAATAAGAATTGGTGTTTGTGATTGGATAAAATGATTAAAATATAATAAAACCACAAATCGAATACAAATTGAAAGTGTTTTTTTTTGTTGCCAAAAACATGAGTATCAATCAAATTACATTTACAAAATTGATCACATGGTCGATCATTAGTATTGCAGATAAAACTGCTTGAGATTTTGCATGAGATATTACTGATAATTATGATCATTGTTTCGTCATTTTTTAAATCAATCTTAGAACAAATGTATAGATAAACTACTCTAAATATGTTGTTGTTGTCAATATTATGGTTATGTATTTAGCTTATATTATGGCAATAATATGATTGAATTCTTTCTTTTTCTTGAAACAAAAACCCAACACCAAAGTAAAAGAACATATGAATAGTTAATAATTGATGAATTTAATGAGTAGTGCCAAAATAATCATATTTTCTTGTTTTTTTTATGCAATCATTGCGATATTAGGTCTAAAGCTATGATGTTGTGCATGTGGATTTTTCGCTGATGATACGGATGTCGATGGAGATATGGCTGCTGTTGTTGTTGATGTTTCATATGATGTATTCAATTCATTGGTTGAATCACTACTGAATGATGCCGTTTGTGGACTATAATGAGTAGGTGTTGAATGACCGTAAATTTCAGTAGCTATTGCTGTTGTATCATCAAATGTTTGTTGTCGTTCATTACGATATTTTCTAGATCCATGATGTTGATGGTAATGATGAGAATTATTCGAGGATAAATTCGTTGTTGATGAGGATACACAACTCGTTTTATTATTTGTTTTTGATGTACATACAATACTGATTGTGGAGAATAAACCGATCACTAGAATCATCAAACCGACGACCATAATACCACAAGCAACAGCATCGACTGATGGTCCAAATGCTTCGGCAAAAAATGCACATCGTATAGTGAAACCAATGATAAACCAAATAAAACCAGCAATAGTTGTAAAAAATCCACAATAAAACATTGTCTGACGATTTTCATCGTAACGTGAACAAAAACATTCACCATCACGAAGTGATTTAAAACAAAATATCATTTTTGTTCTTATCTTAGATAAACAAATAAAAGTGAAAAATTTTAATCTAAGAAATATCCAACCGTCGTAGTCTCAGATAAAAATTGAAATGAAATGTTGATGATAGATCCAAGAAAAAAGATGACTCTTCCTGTAGAATTCCAAGACGATCCCAGCATATTTTGAAAAAACACACCGCACCACTAAACTAGCACGTTAATATTAAATCAACAAAATCAATGTTTTATAACTGTGCGATTTTTTAAAATATATAGATAGATGAGAATCATGGGTTAATAACCCAAAAATTAAAAGCTAGTCACATGTGTATGCCATAATCATAAACAACAAAATATTTATAAGACAAAAAAATTGACGCATACAAGGAAGTACAAGCATAAAAAATATGATCATATGAAATAAATGAAAAAGAAAAAGGTGTGTATGCGAAAAATTCACAATTCATATTCTGTCTATCAATATTAGGGAATATAACACACACTCACATACAAACAGAACGACAACATTTGATTATGATTATGATGATGATCACAAATAATATTATATCGATCAATATATTTCATTTCATGTTCTATTCTTTGCGCCTACTCTATACATTTTTAATAGGTCATTCCATCATGTTCTTTTCGTTCATCGACACCGAACAACACGAACGAATAATCAACCGTATTTTTTCGGCAGACCAAAATTGACTGAATGATTTAATAGTTGTGCAAAGAGAACAAAAAATTAAAAAAAATGTCAATTGACGAGTTCAGTTTAATATAAAGCTGATTAAGGTTTGCGTGTTGTCTTTTTGGTGAATTTTTCTTTTTCTTCCGTTTTAATAAAGCCAAGACCCAAAAAAATAGATCATAGTCAATGATTGTGATCAACACGAGCTTGAAATTTTTTGCCATCGTCGTAAATTTTTTTTATTCTTTGAAGCTTTTATTTTTTCAAGAAAGATTCTGGATTTTATCCAATTATTGATGATTGTTGATTTATGTCATGTGTCAGGTAGACTTTATCTGTATGTGTATTCTATTGCTGTTTGATATTTGATAAACTTGATACTGTAATTTAATTAGGCTTTTTATTACTGTTAACCAGAGATAGTCTGTGCTTATGCACATTTATGAACTGATTTACGAAATCAACTTTGGTTTACTTTTTTGAATTTTTATTCAAATATTAGAATAGATAAATAAAATTGCAATCCATGATGTTTGTCATTCGATGTAATTTTAACATTTCCGAAAAAAATCAAATAAGCGATATTTTTGCTAGATAAGGTTCGAAAAAATTCTTCATTTTGATTTCCAAATTCCGAATTTAAAGCCAGAAAATTTTCGATATTAAAAAAAGTGAGAAAAAGAGTATCTGCATAATATATTCGTATACAAATAAATTCACAATCGTCAAAAAAAAACCTAAACGAATTTCACATTAAAAATCAATATGAATTATTCACGAACTAGTGGAAGCTTTTTTTCAAAATCAATCAACGATTATTGTTATTATTTTTTGTATCCATTTTTTTGGGATTAAAAATTGCTATTTTTCTTATTTTCATTTTTCATGATAGCAAACTAATTCACACATACGACGTTTGTCAAAATCAATGAAATTCAAATCGAGAGAATAATGTACCTGATAAAAGCGGTGCCTGGAGTCTAAACACTTTTACTATGTGGCCACGTGCCATGCTATCACTAGAATTTTTCAAATATCAAGTTTGTTTGACACGGTCATATTGCAATTTTTGAAGGTTGATATATTCGATACATGAACTTTGTACTTTAAAACTTGTCGTTTATCCTATTTTACACACTTTGTGTTTTATGGTGAAACGAAAAAAAACAGACGTAATGATTTTAGCCATTTACAAAGAATTTAAGTGGAGATTTCTTTTTTTTTTGTTTTTCAATACTCTTTGTTATTGGCTTTAGGGCAAAGATTTTATTATCCTCTTTATGACGACAAACATAGTTGATTGCAAGCGTATTGGTTTCTTGAAAAAAATATTTTAAGTTGTATGTTTGTTTTTCAGTTTAGGTGTAAAACAACAAAGTTGTACAACATTTATCATTTTATTTCGAAGCCATTTTTTGCAGAATCTTTTTGTTCATCTAACTTTTATTCATTGCATCTTTTATCATCATTAAATTTGACAACACTTTTTAGCAATAATTTCAATGTTTTGTGATAAATAACTGTGAGAGAAAAAAAATGTGGAATCGTTCAATGCCCAATTTTTCCTATTCATTACCGAATCTAGTGGATCCTTTTATTATTCAATCGAATCAGATTCAACGACAACATCATAATGATGATTTCGTTGAAAATATTAGTGACATTCATAATGATAATTATGACAAAAATATTTTGTCAGGTTATCTTCTGTATGATGATTCATTACATGAAGGCCATTTTGGCCATGTTCGTTTAGGTATACATCGATCGACCATGGTAAATGTTGTCGTCAAAATAATTGACAAAAATCGATTCAAGGTATGTGTTTTTTTTCTTCTGGTTGTTGCTTTACGAATGATGTTCATACCAAAGCAATCAATAATAAATTACAAAACTGAACAGAATTATTGCATTACGAACAAAGAGCATTAATTTTTGTTTTGTTTTGTTTTTTACTTTTTGCTCACCTTTAAAGAATGAATTTGATTATAGAATGATATGTGCCGAAATAGATACATTAAAAAATCTGCATAATCATCATCATCGAAACATTGCCAGACTTTTACAATTTGATGAAATTGGTAAAAATTTATTTATCGTACAAGAATATTGTTCACGTGGTGATCTAAATAGTTACATGAAAAAATTTTCATGTGAAAATGAAATCAACCATCATAAGAAACTATTGCCAATTGATGAAGTGATACGAATATTCATTGATCTTGTCGAATGTTTAACATTTGTACAGGAAAATTGTGGACTTTATCATGGAGCAATCAAACCAGCCAATATATTATTTGATCATAACAATCAGATCAAATTGATCGGTTTCTGTCCAATTTATCTATTTGGTCATAAAGATAGACGAAAATCTGAGAATTTAGTCAAAATTCGATACTCAGAATACGATGAATACCAGCCACCCGAATGTTGGTCATCGTCATCATCATCAACAACAGACAACAACAAGCGCTATCGAATTTATATGCCAACTTTTGATGTTTGGAGTTGTGGAATTTTACTTTATGAAATGTTAACAAATTCAAAACCATTTACGGCCAATATGTTTGAGAAAAATTCAACAATTTTGAAACAAATCAAGGTAATTTGTTTTGGAAAAATTCTTATTACATAGAGAATTTTCATACATTCATACTTTTTTGTTTTATTTATATTTTTTGTATGCCTTTTAATATGCACAAACAGTCTGGTATTTTTCAAAATCGAAAACAGTTAACATTATTGTACGGTGAAAATGGCGTGCTTGATCTCATTGGACAAATGCTAGAAATTAATCCAATGAAGCGTATCCGAATGAAACAGATTTTGCAACATTCATGGATAAAATATGGCTGGTCTCATAGCATCGATATAAATAGCTATGACAAAAGTGATTCAAACCTAATGACTTTACCCGAAACGATGACGGCTACGATTTATTCTAAAAATCAAATGGAGACAGAAAAGTTTCGTCCATATTATCATGAAATTACCAATGAAAAACTGGACAATGATATATTAGTTGAATGTTTACGATTACATGGTAATGAAGTGAATGATGTACTTGAATTACGTTCAAATATTCTGTACAAACATTGTTATCATACTGCAACTTATTGGTTAATCCAACAGAATATTGACTATTACAATAAGGTATTGTATACCCTAGTGACCGACCTAGTTATTCTATTTTTATTTATTTTGTCGATTCTCACTGTCCGTATATTTTAACCGTTATTTGCAATTTTTTTAATATTGTATTCAATATATAGCAATGTAAATTAATGATGGCATACAACAACAACGACAGAGATCGAATAAAAAGCAAAAATATAGTTACTTGCAACAATAAAAACATTGTTCATCGAACTGAATTCTTCGAAAATGAAATAAAAAGTGATCAGAATTGTGATGATAATTTAAAATACATTTGGAACGGTGAAAAAGAGTTTGGACTTTTCGACACATTGATAACCACTAATGATTTTGATGATGATGATGATGATGACAATGAATTACTTGATTCTGGCATTCAAAAGGTTTGAATTATATAAGCAAAAGAACGACGATATTAAATTTTTTTTATTGTTGCTATTTTTCTAAACAAAATTAAATTTTAGGATTTTATGAATGAAAATATTTTTCAAAAATCGAAAATAAGACATGATTCTGCAAACTTTTCAACTGGTCTATATCACCATGAATCAAATAATTTCAAGCAATCAAACTCAATAATGAAATATGGAGAAAATTGTCATCTTGATGTTGATGATGTTGACAATTATTTTGTATGGAAGTCGAAACGTAATGGGAAATGTTTTCAAGAAAATGTTGTTTATCATGAAGATGATGATAAAATAACATCTACAACAACAACATCAACAACAAACGATAGTAATGATGATTGCTGTTTATTAAATGAAGAATTCCAAAACTATTCTAACGAATCCAAATTGATAGCGAATAATGAAAATGTTAATGATGAAAAAAAGAAGAAAAGTTCGACCCGGAAACTAATATTCAGTGAATTGACAAAAAAGTTCACGTCAAATATTTCACGCATTAATTCATTGCTGAATTTTCCTAGCCACAGCCATCATCGTTCAAATCCAAAAGGATCGTTGAGTTGTACGAATTCTCCATGCAAAACATCAATGAACCGGCAACAACAACGAAGCTATGATGATCAAATCAATATTTATGACCTCGCTGATAACGGAGGTCAACATTGTCCAAATTCATTTTGTACTAATCATTTTCGAAGCGGAAATGATTTGGTAAAGATGAATGAGCAGCATCGAAACAAGAAATCTAGTCTTTCAATAAGCAATTTTTGGCAAAAACATTCTGTAAACCAAAGAATTTATGATAAACCGATAGTAAACATCTGTAATTCTGGAAATAATTCATCTTTGAATTCATGTTCGTCGTCATCATCAACATCGACCTCATATGAAAAACATACAAGTTCATCGACATTAATCATCACCAGTTATGATTGTTATGATGATTGTATTCAAGCGGCCATCCATATCCTGAAAAAGAAGGGGATAAATTTTAAAAAACAAACGTACGCTTTTTATATGAAATTTTTTTTTTGCAATTTTATTGAAATTTTTTTCCCGTTAAAAATAGAAGCATTAGAAATGGCACCCGACAGCTTCGTTGTTGTATATCAACATCCAATAAGGTTATACTTGTATTTCGAATGGATTTTTTTCAAACCGATCCACGAATGTTTATATTGATACGAATGAAAAAAATACGTGGCCAGATGAATGATTTTCAAATCATATGTAATAATTTGACAAAATATTTTCAAACCAAATCTATGGCAAACGAATGATTCATGTATTACAGTTGAAAATAAAATAAAAATTTCAATCTAAAACCATTATAGAATTTTGGTATTAAATCAAATGAGAAATAAATAGAATATTCCATTATGATCCATTGAATATTATATCGACAAATAACCATATCATCATCATCATCATCAACAACAACAACAAAATCAGGGAAACAAACTTTTTTTCAATTGATGATCTATGATTCTACATTTTACCGAAGTGAATGAGTGAGTGAGAGAGAGAAAAAAAGAATTCAAAACAGCATGAATGATAAACATTTGTTGTTCATCATTTTCAGTATTATTTTGAATCAATAACAACAACAACAACAAAAATTTCTCCATTTACTATATGTAGATATATTTTTTTTCATAGCCTTGACAGACGGATGTGTTTGTATGCGATACAATTGATTGAGATTCATGTGTTGAATTTATTTTTTTTTTCAATTTATTTTTCATTTTTTCTGCTGATTCGCTCGATTCTATTTTTTTACTTGCTGTATCTAAATAGAGACTGCTTTTCAAAGAAAATAAAAAGCAAAAAAGAAAAAATCTAAACCCTAAAAGTTTTATTGTTAACGTTTTTTTTTTGGTGAATGAAAAAAAGACACAAATTCTCGATTCATTACATTTACTATTTATCTCGATTTGTGTGAATTCTAAGAAACACGGAAAAAGGAAAACCTCTGTACAAAAACAAAACAAAACAAACAAACAAACACGAAAAGACAATTTCTTCAGAACAATAATGGCTGTGACGACAATGGCTAAATGTATTGTGGACATTTAATCAAAATGATAGAAAACAAAAAAATAAAAGACATCTAAACGAGCTAACAATTAGCAACTTTTTTTCGGCTAACTGACTGGCGATTCAAAATTCTATTATTTTACTTTTTTTTTCAAAAATGAAATTGTACATTTACATTCAAAGAAAAATTCCAAGAAAATCATAGTAATTAAAACCAAATTTTATTTAAATACAGTCAGTATTTCAATGTTTTTAAAAAATTATTTGTCCAAAGCTTTGTTTTTCAGCTAAAAGTTTCAATTAATTTTAATGTATAGTTTCCACAAATAGAAGGAAACAGATAATCATCATTTTTAAAAAAATTACAACAATATCCGAATGTAATTTTTGTTCGTTTCATTATCGTTCGATACAGGAAAATTATCTTCATTAGTATTAGTTTTATTTGTTCGGTGTTATCATAAAGGTATCGTATCAAACTAAATAAAAAGCTTTTTGATCTGACATCGTCTTCAAAGAATTCGACTTTTTTCGTATTCAATCTAAATAATTAGAAAGTCAGTTAATTTCCATTTTCTCTTAATGTTGATTTGATTAACACTAAGAGTTTCTATCCTGTTCTTTGTAATTAATCTATTCATTTAGTTGTTGATTCTTGAATTTTTTTTTCTATTTTCTTAATGCATTCATTGTTTGCATTAACATCATTTATCTAAACAAACTTGAATATATTCATCACAATAGTGAAAAAAATGGCATTAAGGTCAGTCCAGATGCAATTCATGACAAACCAGAGCATTTCTTGCATCATTTATTTTTTCCTTTACTAGCATTCACGTAACAATAATTTATAAATAATACATTTTCTTCACATTCACTAATTCTGGTTTGATTGTCCAAACAATGAAGAATAAATTTTCTATTAGAAAAATTGCTAAAAACTTCAAGCAATAAGAAAAAAATGATCGATAATAATGATGATTAAAAATTTCCAATTTTTTTTATTTCTTAGTAATCAATAATATAAAAAATCAACATTTCAATCATCTAAATTCATTCCCTCATTGGTCAATGAAAAATTGTTGATGATGCGTTGTAATCGAGTTATGAGGCCATTCCCATGATGATATTATTCTCAAACTTTGTTATGAAATATTTAAAAACATCGGTCTGATTTTTAGCCATGAAATATTGAAAATTGTTTGATTACAAGTATGACTATCAAATAATAATAATAAGTTGACAATAACAAAATTATAAAAGACAAAACAAAAATAGAATTGCAGTTTGTTCCAAATTCAAGAATTTGTTGAGAATTTTATGACAGCCATATTTTTGTTTACAGCGATTACTGCGCCATCAATTGATCAGAAAAGTAGTTTTTTTATTATTTTTGTTTCAAAACCTCATCAAACAATCTGATGACAATCAGATAAACGATACAATGCTTTATAATATTGTTCCATTAATCTTTCTGTATAGAATTTTGATTTTAAAAAAGGAAATATTCCTTCCATGAAACCAATATGACCACCACGTGATGTAACCAACAATGCGACATGACGACTTTGTTCAACGTCCCATGGTAAGTCTAACAAAACAAAAATTATTCAAATGATGGCGATTAATCATTATTAAATTATTATCTTACTTTCAGTAGGCGCAAACATATCATCGGATGCATTTATACAAAGTGTTGGTGTACGTATGCAAGACATTTTGCCTAAATGGCTACTTTCAGCATAATAATGTGAAACGCTTTCGAAATTGAATATTTTAATTGTGAATGCTTCATCGAATTCACGAACATTTTGACATTGCCGTACACGATCCAGATCGATACCGGGAACATTTTTGAATAATGCATGATTAGCATCAACAAGATTGACTAGTAATCGTGTTAGATGATGATTTAATGGATAATTGAGACTTCTTTCCATATTTTCACATCCGATCATCAGATCCCAACAAACGGATATTAGAAAAGCTGCATTGATTTGCGATTCGAATCCAGTGCTAATCAGATATCGACATAAAAGTATACCACCAAGCGATATACCTGTAGCAATCAGTTTACAATCAGGATTATGATGACGAATATGATTAATAGCTGTATGAATATCATCATCATTTGCCGCACAATATAATCGAGGGGTCAGCAAAGGCGTATTGCCTAGTCCACGATAATTAATAACAACTGGTCGATATCCAATCTGAAAAGCTATTGGTACCAATGTTTTTATATATTCTGATTGTGAACTACCTGTCAGACCAGGCATAAATAATGCAATCGGCTTAGGGCGATCACCAACTTTGCCAAACGAATATCCAGGTTGAGAACATGGTGATGAACGTTCACAATTTGGATCATACCAGTCCAACGATATTTGTCCGCCATCAGGAGTTTCTACGAAAATGAATGAAAAAGTATTAAACATTGATGATAATGCAGTAACATATATAACAAGAAAAAATTACGTAATAATTCCCGATGATAATGTAGATCGGCGCAAAAACCACGAATATAATTGGCCAAAGCTGTTAATAAATGTGTTTCGTAACACCAAATGGTTGGCCAATATTTTTCACTAATTACCGGACAATTGGCCAATAAAAACCATCGAAATCTTCCTTCCGAAGTCACAAGTATCGGTTTCTGATTATCATGTTTAAAGTGTTAATATCAATCATGTATTAAATTAAAAAAGAATACTCACTTTAACTATATTAGCAATATAATGAAAAACATATATCATGAATAAAAGAATGGCAAAAAATGTTCGTGGAGCATTCAGATAGAAATCAATAATAAAATCCGTAACATCATTAGCCCATTGAAAGATTAATGTTATCATATCATGATAATGGCCATAGCCACCGAAAATCGGTACAATCACATTCAACATATCCATCTTGAATAAAAATTTTGCACTACTGATGACAATCCTTATGGTTCGATGACATAATTATAATTAAACGATTTCAGTTCAATGAAGAACATTGGTATCATTTTGATTTTTTTACAATTTTTTTGTAAACAACAAATCAGACAACTCAGATAAATTAAGATATACTCGACAACATAAGCAACAACCGAATGCATGGATTGGTTTAGGCTCGACATTGGACTCCATATGCCGATCGTAGCTAAATATATATAAACCACATTCGCTATACGATCAACAATAAGTATATCAATGCGCGTGACAATCAATATTGGTATTCGAGCAAATCGTCTTTGTATATAATTTTTGTAACATCAATGGCAATACATCTATCTTAAATGAGATTTTGCAAATTGAAACAAAATTTTTTATATCAATGTCATTTTTAATGAAGGGTTGCTATTGAACAATTGATAAGAAATCTTAATTAGCATCAATAGGCTTAAAAATCATGATTGACATTTCCTATAGAGAATACAAAATATCAAAATGAAAAATAAAACTAGGATACAGGATACATCATTTTTTCAAATTATTAATTTGGTTTGTTTCGTTGACGATCATGATACCAGACCCGAAATTTTTCCCAATAATACCGGAAACGAAAAATTACACGTGATATAGCACCATAAAATTGTATGAGTGATAATCCTAGCCAAATGTGAGCATGTCCTCCTAAATAACCAATGAATTCAAATAAACTCATTTGACGTTCATGTTTGACAGTCTGAACCATTTCATGATTAGCTTTGACAAAAATCTTGGTCACAACTTCATCATTTAAATTAAAATCATCATCTACAATTGTCGATATATCCATTGTAGTCGTATAAAGTGATTCGCGACAATTTCTTTTACAAATTTTTCGGCATTTACGTCTTGCTAATATGAAACGATAATAATCAAGATAGCTTCTATGTGGACAAAACTTTACTTTGTCATCGCTTTCTTGATTGCCATTTGTTGATGAATGATGTTTTCTTTGTTGGACATAATCATCATCTTTCAATAATTTTTTATCATCATAATTGCTGTCATCGGTAATTTTTTCTTGGTTAGATTCGATTTGACGTAGTAAACTTTTTGTTATAAGACTATAATAGTTTAGACATTGATTTGGTTGTAAGGATAATGTTTCTTTCAACACGCACCGATTGATGCACTCACTTTGTGATCTTGGAACTAGAGACAGAAAAGAGAAATTCATCTTTTCTTTAGAGAAAGAATGTAATGAAATTACCTTTTTTTGATTCATATTGATGACAATTTGTACGATATGGTGATGGCATCAATTCGGTGATTAATCTTTTGAACTGTATGGAATAAATCATACCAGGATCGATTCGAAAAAAATCAGTTTCCAACAATGATGGCAATGTATATGGTGAATGAATTCCTGCAATAATATCCGTATCAAGTAATTCTTGTGTATTCATTGCGAATAAATTCATACGAATCACAACTTGAACATGGGATATTTTTTGATTATCAATTATATTACGAATTTCTCGTAATGGTGATGATGATTTTGATGCAACCGAATCATAATCATCAGTGTCATTATCAACATTTACATAATCGGATAAATAGGAGAAATATGTGAAACATTTTCGTCCTTGTTGTATGCTTTCCATTACGAAATTCGGTAGACCGGAAATATTGATCGCCTGTTCTTGAGGATTATTTTTATTATCTAAAACATAGTAACATTCGGGTATCAATTTGGATGCATCATAAGTGAAATGATCAAATACTTCAATCACCGAATAATTTTTTAATAACGTATATTCCTGATGATATATTTGATCATATAAATTATCATTATCAATAAATGATTTTTGTAAACAACAACCACAAATTGTAATGGCTGGAAATGTAATGTTGATGGGTCTATTATATTCGATTCTAACGTTTGTTTCATAATGTAAAAATTCTGCACATAAGAGACATAGATGTAAGACAAAATATCTTGCACATACAAAATAGATAAAAATTTTTGGAAGAATTTTTATTGAAAAATGAACAATTTTTTCTTTTTTTATTATCATGATCATTATTATAATTGAATCGACAAAAATAAATCCTAAATCAAAATGCAAAACAAATTGAAAAAGAATAATTGATTCTTGATATATTAATGTTTGTATGACTAATGTATGACTAAATCAAATAACCCATTGCCATGGATTTTGTTTGTTTGTTTTACTAATTGAATAAAGATTTTTTGATTTTAAAAAATGCTGTTGACATTGTTGTCGACATTGATAACTTTGCAAAAAAAAACACGATCGATTTTAATGTTTATTGAAATGTAGATAAAAATCCAGCCTCATGCCATTGACCATCATTTTGTTTGACTTGTATTTACGGATAAATTTTCAAATTCGTCACTTTTTTATTATCAAATCGAATTTTATTCCTTATCCGGAATTGGATTTAACAACAATCATCAAATGATGTGCAAATCATTCAAGAGATGGCGTTAATGAACACGAAAGATATCGTTTTGCTCAACATTTTTTTGTTGTCACTTGTGTGTTTATGAAAACACATTGTTTTGGCTAATAACACAATAAGGGCCTATATTGACATGACTATGTCTTAATGTTTGTTATTGTCATGAAGCTGTCAATAATATTTTGTTTAGTTGATTTGATTTTCTAATTTTAAAAAGTAATGAGTTTGTTGACAAGCAAATAAAATGCCGAAAGTTGTTTCTCGAAGTATTCTTTGTACAGATACACAGAATCATCAACATGAAACCAATAACTATGATACAAATCTACTTGTATATGATTGTGTATGTGGCCAGATGTGTTTAATCATCAATCAGCCATTAGAAACGTTACCATTAAGAAAATTTGATGAAAGCCGTATACTTGATCAACAAAAAGAGTTTATTTATAAATTTTATGCACTTGATGCTACCGATGAAGATTTGATACAAATTTCTCATGAAAATCAATTCGAACGTAGATTTCTTCGTCGATGTCCTCGATGTCGTCTACCCGTTGGTTATCAACAAGAAATTTCTCAACAGCAATCACAACAGTCAACCAAAATGATTGTATTCCTTATACGTGGTTCACTATTGGTACGATCTAGAGTATCTGGTACATCAAATCATTATCAAAATCATCGTAAATCAACGAATGAACAAAATAAGATATTCATAACAAAAAAAGAAATGGGTAAATTTAGTTCAGTTACGGTATCTACTGTAGATGAAGAAGAAGAAGAGATAGAAGCACGTGAAGTAGCCGATTCTTATGCAGAAAATGCACGAATAATTGAACGACAATTGGAACGAAAACGAATGCTAAATAAAACAAATACGGATGCATCAACAACAATTTCACCCGAAAATGATAGTGAAATTTCACAGGTTGAATTGAAAAAACCAAAAGGAACATTAATTGATAAAAAAATTTTATAAATTTTAAGGAAATAAATTTTTTTTCTTTCAAAATATTGCCATCCTAATTATTATAAAAGCAACCAATCCAATCAGAATCGATGTCGCAAACAACTTTAATGTCGTTGTCGTTTCATTGTCAATTTGATTTTGCTCATTATTAGGTCGTTCATTTTCATTCAAATTTTGCTCTATATTCTTATGATCTTCATCCTCTTGAAAATTTTCTTTATTGTCGACATTCGGATTAGTGATACCACTCTGAACCGTTATTGTGGATTCTGATGTTGGTGATGGTGGTTTTTTAGATTCAAGATTAGTGTTTTCATTAACAGGTACATTCTCTTCAATTTTATTTTCAACTTTTGATTCAAATGATTTTGAATCAATTAAACTTTGTATTTGAATTTTATCTATACTCTCAAATTTTGATGATTGTTTACGTCTTTTAAAAATGGCTAAATTTTTAAACGGTGATGAATCGGTAGGACTTAGATCATCTGGTTGGTTACTTTTTTTACTTTGTTTAACCAAAAATTTTATTGCATAATTTTGATTAGCACTATCGTTTTCTGGCAGCTTTTGTCGTTTCACCATGACCATTGATGTTTTTTGTTTGTCCAACATTGGTTGCATTGTTTTTTTGGTTTTAATTTTGTATTTAATCAAAACTTTTGATGACATTTCGTCTAAATTTGAATTTGTTTTACCAATATCTTCCTTATTACCACTGTTCATTTTGTCAAATATTTTTCGTCAAAAAATAAACAAAATAAAATCCTTTGCATAGAATTATTTTATTGTTTTACGTAGTATTTATAATTTGACGGCTTAATTTGTTGTGACCGCTGCTTTATTGTTATTAGTAGCAAAAATAATCCGATTCATTTTTTTTCGAAAAGAATTAAATCAAATGAAATTTCATTCTATTATTTATTTTACAATAGAATTAAATGGAATTTGTCATATGTAAAGATTTGGAAAATAATTTATTAATAATTATATCAATATTTTTTGCAATTAATTTATTTGAAAAGAACTAAACAAAACAAAACAAAATGCATAGAGATATTAAATTTGCAGAATCTTTGCATTATAATTGTTGAATATAAAATGATAAGGATAACAATGCCACTATAAATTAAACGGCCAATTATATAAATCAAACAGATTTTCATCTTTAAAATGTCAGCTTAACTGCCATAATTGAATGTTGATCTTTTAATGTTTATTAATTTCGAATGTTAAACAAGTCTCATAATGAAGCATAAGATGGCGCTAATTATTACTTTTTCATTATGTTGATCATCATAACAATTTTAAATTCGAATCTTTGATTTTTTCGATGAATTCGATTTTGATTTTAAATTCTCTTTTCGGTTCGATAATTTTTTGTATTTCCGTCGAACTGTATAACGATGTCCTCGATTATTTGTAGAATTTTTCGAATGAACAGTAACGCTACTGTTACTTAATTCTTTATGACGAGATTGGACCGGTGTCGGTAGGCAACTCATTTCTTCTGTGATTAGATAATTTCTACATATTAAAAATATGATGGCTATAATGACAGCCATAAAATTTAATATAAAAATTTGAACCGGAACCGCAATACTTTCGGGTGAATGTTTTCTACTTTCATTCACACTATTATTAGCCATGTGATTAATATTTAATGAAAAGTAAAAAATCGAATCCTACGAAATTTACTTCAGTATTTATTGGATTTTTGTGAATTCAAAAAAAAAAAAATTTTATCGAAATTTAAAATTTTCGAACGGAAAAAATAATAATTCATTTTATTACAATAATTAATTTGTTCTTTTAATAAAATTGGAAAAAAGAAATTTTTAAACAGTTAATTTGATTGGAAAAAAGTTTTGTTTTCGAATAAAATAATAAACTGTACAAATCGAATGTAAAAATGATATTTTGAAATGAATGTGAATTGAAACAAGAAATAAAACAGGAATAATTCAACAACAAAAATGAAACAATTTTCTTTTCTTTTCTTTTTTTGGTCTTAACATTATAAATGCATATGGAATTCATGGAAATTATTGAGATTATAAAATCATTTTCATTTGATGAAAAATCCAAAGATTTTAGTTTTTTTTTCGCTTGGATTCCAATGAAATTCCAATCCATTGAAAAGAAATTCAATTAAGGATGGCCATCATCATTTAATATATCAATTTTACGAATAATTTACACAGCTGTACCATTACGTTTGTTGATCTGTTGCGAGAAATAAAAATAAACAACATTAGTTATAATTTTTCAATAAAAAAAAGGAAAATTCATGAAAAATTCATGAAAAAGCTAAAAATGGAATGGGAAGAAAATGGTCATCATGATGATTATGATCAATGGTCACCAACAGAAATTGTTAAATTCAATTTTGTTAGGTAATTTTTTATTTGCAAAACAAATTCTTGATGAAGCAAGTGAAAAAATGTTTGTTTTTTTTTAAATTCAAAGTTTCAGTATGCTTAATTATAAAAATGCAAATTACATTGTGGTTATACACACACACATGAATAATCAATCAAAATAATATTTTGAAGATTTGAAAATGGGAAATAGAAATTTTTATATTATGTAATTTATGGGTTCACAAAGATAAAGTTGCAAAAATAAGATAAATAGCTGTCCTGGTCTTCGGAAAGACAAAATTCCAAGAATGTGAATGTTGTCCATTTTAAATTTTTGTGATGATTTTTTCTTTCTCGGAAAAAACAAACTTAGATTTAGCTTTTTTGATTCTTATTTTTTCAACAAAAAAAACTTCTAGTTGCAATGTGGTTCTAATGATATCTTTCAACAAAAAACATTTATTACCTTTGATTAATCCCTTTAAATTCTATACTGGCAAGTCTATTTTGGTGTAATGTGGAAAAGACGAAATTATTATTTTTTTCACTTCAAATAAACTATAGAGTAGGACTCGATTAAATTCTCTGCTGTTGTTGATTCTTTATTTTGATGAATACAGACTAAATTTTGGTCATTATGACTTAAAAAATTATGATCGGTAATTGTTGTTGTTATGATTTTTGTTTTGGAAAAAAAAGTAAGTCATTTATACATCACTTACTAGACATATCTTTTCATGCGATGATGATGATGATGATGATTGTGTTTGTTCCGAATTGTTATTGTTATTATTAATATTATTATTATTCGAGCTATATCGACTGCTAGAATTCGAAGATTGCCTTGGGTGATATAATTGTTGTTGTTGTTGTGGATCACAATTTGATAAATTTTTCATTACAGTGTTGGAATTATTTTTTGTCAATTTTTGATCAATTGTTGTAACATATAAACTACTACTATTATTAGTAGCATCAATCGATGGTAAATCGGTTGTAGCCAATGATGATGATGGTGTTGTTGGTGATGTTGCCGACTGTAATAATGTTACATTACATCGTTTTGAGCTTGTTGTAGACAATGTTTTTTTATTATTTGGGCTATTATTGTTACTGTAATTATTATTGACCATTGTTTCATTGACAGTAATTTCATCGTTTGGATTGTAATATAAAATAGGTTGTTGATGAGTATGATGATGTTGCTGTTGTTGTAAATGATGATGAGGTTGATGCTGTGCAGTAAAATCGGTCATAAATTGACCAGAAGGGGCTGTTTCATAGCTATCTACAAATAATGTTGATTCACCCGTTTCATACATTTGTTGATGATAGGATGGACTATTTGTCGATGATGATGATGTTGTGGTATATAGACAAGATATATTGTTTGGATCAACATAATGTTGATGATGATGTGGCGAAATATATTGGGCTGTATTCATATATGGATGATATTGTGAGTATTGAGCAGCAGCTAAAGCTGCTACTGAATCCGATCCATTAATATCATATGGGCTATTTAAATGATGATGATTTGGCGATCCATTTGAAGGTGATGAATGGGAATAAAGAATTTGATGATGAGGTAAAGGCGGTAATTGTGACTGTGGTTGACCGATAATTCCGATAGCTGAAATAGGTATGGATTTTGTATTCGATATTTGATTCGGTGATAATGATGATGTTGATGAAGAACTAAGTCCTGTAGATGAAGCCGTCGAAGAAAGATCCAATAATTGTGTAGCCGAAATGTTGCCTGTATTATTCGTATGATGAATATAAGGACCAGATGGCGTAATGATTGATGTTCGATGATTAAATGAGCCTTTCGTTCCACGTGATAATGATGTATCTGATAGAATTTAATAACCAAAATTATTGTAAGAAATAATAATAAATTATTATTTTTGAGTTAGGAATTGATAAAGTTTGGTAAATTGCACTTTGTTTATTTGATATTTATAATCAATAAAAGTGAATGACATTATGATGAATTCCCAATCGTATGTCAATGTTTTTTGCACTCTCTCGTTAATTCGATCACCATTAACAAAATCACATTTGGGATTATATTTACAAGCATAACCAGCACAAAAAAAATTGATGGAACATATCTTTTCTCTCAAAAATCATATTCTGACAATCATCATTAAAACATTTAAAACAAACAAATAAATAAATGAAACAAAAACAACATTGTATCCATTCTATTAATGATTTAAAAATGGTTCAATAATTTTGCTTTATCAAGACACGAATAGCTTGTAGAATTGTAATATCCTGCAAAAACCAGAACATTATAATATCCGGAAAATTTTATTCATTTTATTTATTTCGAATATTTTTTTTTTTTTTTTGAAATGATGGGGATGCATGGGGTTCTAATCATCATCATCATCATTTTTTGTTGGCCACATTATTATCCA